CTTATTAAATGAGCTGTATCCATCTGATTGGAAAGTTTTCAGTAGATAAATGTAGCCAAGATTATAGGCAACAATTCTTTATATAACACTTGATACTTTGAAATAAATTAAGCCGGCGAAAACTAGTTTTCGAAAAGTTGTTCGGGTAGTTCTGTAGAATCTGTCCCGATTAGTTTGGTTTTGATCCAGATCGAGGTTTTGATCGTCGATAACGTTTATAACCGTTTATAACGTTTATAAATGAGTTATTAATTCCCAAATACCATATACCAAGCAAAACAAGAACCTTTTTCTTTCATTTTCCAGTTCTGAACGATGTCGCGTGTCTCCTCATCGGTCTCCACAATTCATTGAGTGTCGTCGCGGCTTTATTATTAAACAATGTCTATCGAGAGTATCTCATGACTCCATTCAAAACAGGTATCATTTTATAAAAACATTCTGCAGCAGGTGAAATCTTGAAAACAGAAAATTATCCAAAATAGAGAGACAAATATTTACATTGGTTTTTGTAGAACAGCTTATGAATTAAAATTTGAATAAAAAGCTGTTTTCTTTTATTAAATTACATCTTTAGACCAATATCAACCAATAAAAATTCAAAGGAAAGCGAAAATTTAAATGCTTTAAATCTTTTTAGAGATCTTAGCTGACTATGAGTATATGTCGTAGCCGATTATGAATGAGTGGGTCTAGGAGCGTCCAACCATCAAGTATTTAGTAAAATTCAACGCAGCATCATTAATAATTATGTTAAATTTTTTAAATTAGAAAGATTGGGTAAAAAGAAAAAAAATTATGGGGCTTCAAAGTTTTCTCTTGAACAAACAGTTTTTTTTTGCTCTAATTTTTTTTCTTTTTATTCAATCTTTCTAATTTTAAAAATTTAACATAATTATGAATGATTCTGCGTTGAATGATACCAAATCCTTGATGGTTGAACGCTCCTAGACCCACTCATTCATAATCGGCTACGAGGGTCCCGCCGATTTTGAATGAAACGTTGTAGCGCCGGCAATTTTTAACCTAAACTCACAAATTTGGTACCAATCGACGCAGAATTGAATTCGCTACAGGATGATATAATATTGTCCTCATACATTAAAGGGTTGCTCTACTAGAGTTGCCTAAAAAGATTTGCCAAAAAAATTTCATTCATAATCGGCTACGACATATACCGTATTCTCTCCAATAATAGTATTCTCTCCAATAACTCTTTAATAGTAGTGCACTCTCTAATAGTATTGCGGTCCGAGAGGGGATTGAAAAAAATAGTAGTGCACCCACGAAAATTTGAATTTCTGGTGCTTCTTTTTCATCTAAACCTTTTTGACTTTATGTTTATGTGACATTCTAAAGCTATTCAAGCAAGCAAAAGTGAGGCTTTTTTTTATTCATTTATTAACTATTCTTCACATGAAAAAGTTAGCAAAAAATCTAAAATTGTTGTGCAAAGTGCAAAAACATCTTTTTGTTGTTTGTCAAGACACAAATTGTCAACTCGCCCGCCCACAACTGTATGTCAAAAGGAGTCAAAGGAGTACGTGAAAGAGTTGCAAGAATTTTTGGAACTTACTTTGGTAAATGATAAAACTCTTTAGTAGTGCACTCTCTAATAGTATTGCGGTCCAGGAGGGGGTTCAAAAAATAGTAGTGCGCACTACTATTAGAGAGAATACGGTATACTGTAGTGAAAAAAAAAAGAGACTGGCATTTAGCAATATCATTAGTATTAGAAGTTTTTCAATTTCTAAGCCAAAGCCAGTTCAAAAACGAATCCAGGCTGGCTCTGATCTTGCCGTGAAAGTGATCTTTAGAGTCAGGTTAGGCTAGGTAAGATCAGAGAAGGCCAGTAGCCAGACCAGGAACTGGTTCATGAAAATTTTGCAAGACTTTTATTGACCTTAATCTTCAGTTGGTGTCTTTTTCTTTCCAGCAGCGAATGCAGCAACGAGGAATTCGATTCTAAGAGTTTCGACGACCGTTGTTCAACCATCAACGAGAGAGATCGATAGAATGAGACGGAGAAGCACGCTGGCCATTCATGCTCTACAAATATTGCCTAGAAATAGCTTTTGATTTTCTGTGCATAAAACTTTTGTAAATCTATATAAATTGGTTTAAAAAGAGTTTGAATAGATGAAATTGACTGCTACAGTGACCTCTAAATCGAGCAGAGAATAGGAATGGGGATTGGTGGAGGATTGGATGGGTGGAAGAGAAATGACAGAGACTCCGCCCATGAATGGAAAGAGTGACATGAAGTGACACCCAACTGGTAGTGGATAAGGAGATATTTGGAGAGGAAAATGGCCATGGATTGCACGACAATTCGAGCGACGAATGAAAGTGAATCGGTGAGTTGAATCGATTGAATCGATTTGAATCGATTCTTTGAATCTATTTGAATTCTATTTGATTCTATTTGAATCGATTCTTTCAATATTTCATTTGACAATGAAATCTTGAACTTATAAACTAAGGTTTTAAAAGCCTTTTCTTCTTTCTTCTTCTCCCTTTTCTTTCCTTCTTCTACTTGATGAGATAAGGTAAAGGAAAACTCAATGATCAATGGCTCAATGGATAGCTCTAAGCAATTTGCTTTAACCATCGAAGCGAGGGGTCGAGAGTTCGATCCCCTGCCCTATTTTCTTTCTTTTGTTCACTTTACCTTTTATAGTTAGTTTAATAGATGTATCTGAACCTCATGATGAGCTCTAAGACTTGAAACTGTATGAGATCCTGTAGCAGTATTAGATTTAAAATATGATTCAAGTTTGGCTCTCGTTTAATTGTCATTTTATGAACAATGATAGTCATTGTTATTTAGATATACTTATAAAATCATAAAAATGCATGGACTATGGTTGAAAAACCAAAAACAACACAAATACTAGAATATTAGCCTGCGATTTCTAACGCTAACTTAAAGAAATTCTAAAACTCTAACTCTAACGAAACATTTAAATTATCTGTAGATGATCTTGATCTTGAAGCTCTAGTGGATCCTTGGCGTTATCTGTGCTACCCATTACATACGTTATATCGTATTCCTTTCGATCGGCCCTTTTCGTGTTATGTGTATGAATTCATGTGTTTTAATCTTCAATCTAGCGCACTTTAGCTCAGGTCATGAATAAAGTATATCTATCTATATAAAATCTATATAAATCTATATAAAATCCACGTAATTTTACATAGGAGAGAAGGACCGTAACATTTTTTTAATGACTTTGACAACCCTAGCCGTCTACAAGTCTTTGAATCTAACATCTTCACCCTAGCGCACTTTTATTATCTATTCTATATACAGAAAAAATGGATTACGGTAGAAAATCTCAAAAACAACACAAATACTAGAATATTAGCCTGCGATTTCATAACGCTAACTTGAAGAAATTCTAAAACTCTAACTCTAACTCTAAAACTATTAGAAACACTAAAATCCTTTTTGTAAGGTAGAAAAAATGATTTGGCAAGTCCAAAAGCATGAAAAGATCTATAGATGCAGTAACTTGCCGTAAATACTGTAATAGTACCCCATCGCCCTCGTACAGTCGCGTAGTCGCAAAAGTTTTTTAGTATTTCATTTTTTTCAAAGCTCCCGTACTTTCAAAAAATGCGTCTTTGGTATCAAAAAATAGCTGAAATTCAGGGCTATTTTTTGATATCTAAACGCGCATTGTAGCATAAACCAGTGTCGAGAAAAACTCGTTCAAAGCTAGACTACACAAAACTCCGCACCATCATTATGGGGGTGGGGTACTATTACAGTATTTACGGTAAGCACTATAAACTAAACAAAAAAAGCTTCAGGAAAAGGCTAATTTTGATGAAATGCTTGCCTCATCCTCTTCATCGAATTGCTCATCGAGTGCCAATTCGTCAGCGATTCTAAGCTTTTCCATTGAGCGTATCCTTTCCGATCGATGGCCGACGAAAAGAAAAGTTTCTTTTTTCTTGAATTTACAAAATCTAATCTTTTTTTTCCAGATTCTCCAAAACTCTCCTCAGAACGGGCAAATATTTTGCCCACATTGCGACAAAGTTTTCACCGCTCAATACAATCTCTCTCGACATTTACCTGTGCACACCGGAGAGCGACCATTTTTGTGCAAAGTTTGTTTCTCAGTTTGTTAAAAATGAAAATGCTTATCTGATTACATGAAAAAAATTACAACTTTCTCTTAAACTTGACACCTTAAATTAACTATTTTACATTAACGCTTCAAGTGTTTTCTTTGTGATAAGGTAATTAGAGTTATAATAGTTTATTTTTCAAAAGAATACGTAATTTGAAAAACCATCGTAATCTTTCTTTTGTCCGCTTTGAATCTCAAAGCAGATACAAGGTTAGAGGTTTTGAAAATGAAGCCTAGATAAAGCCAAGGCTGGTTTATAGACTTGAATTTGTTGAAACTCTGAAGTAGACTTGTTATCCGATTGGAATTCGGATCGGATCGAATCGGATTCAATTCGATAAAGGGTTTTGGATTTTATCGGATCCTGTCATCATCCGAGGCTCCATTAGATTGTTTGGATCGATGTAATTCTCCAATCCATCGGATGGAAAGTCTCTGAAGTCAAGCTCTAAAAAACAAACCCATAGCCAGTTCACCATTAAAATTGAATTGCATTGAAAGCCAAGCCTAGATAAAGCCAAGACTGGTTTATAGACTTGAACTTGTTGGAGCTCTGAAGTAGACTTGTTATCCGATCGAAATTCTGTCGGATCGGATCGAATCGGATTCAATTCGATAAAGGCTTTTGGATTTTATCGGATCCTGTCATCATCTGAGGCTCGATTAGATTGTTTGGATCGATGTAATCCGCCAATCCATCAGATGGAAAGTCTCTGAAGTCAAGCTCTAAATAATAAACCCATAGCCAGTTCACCCTTCTGCTACGCTGAATTAACACCGATCACCTTTAAAGTATAACAAAGGAAAAGCCGCTTCAGTGATCGAATGATTATGAATTTCAAAGCAGATATCAGGTTAATGACCTTCAATGACCAAATTCAGATCTGCGGCAAGTCATTCCGTCAAGCGTCAACCCTCTGCCGTCACAAGATCATTCACACGCATTTAAAGCCACATAAAGTTTGTTCATTTGTTTTTTGTTTATTTTCATTTTTAAAACAACAAAATTTTCTAGTGTAAAGAATGTGGTAAATCGTTTAATCGATCATCAACTTTGAACACTCATATGAGGATACATAATGGTTGTGAATTGTTTTTTTTTTGGAAAAAATCGAATATAAAACGTTTAGGCTTAAAACCATACATTTGTGATGTTTGTGGAAAAGGTTTTCATCAAAATGGTAACTTTAAAAATCATCGTTTAACGCATTCAGAAGAGAAACGCTTCAAGTGTCCTCTTTGTGATAAGGTAATTCGATTTTACAATAGATTCGTATTACAAATGAATGCCTAAAAACTATCGTAATCTTTCTTTTTGTCCGCTTTATTCATTCAATGAAGAATTAAGCTAAGAATTTAATGGGTTTAACTTTAAGTATTAGGTTAGAAAGAAAGTTAATGTAGAAGTCTTTACAATGTTTTGTTCAAATCTTTTTTTTTTTTTGAACCAATTTGAAAGACAAAACGGCTAGATCAAAGTACAGAAAATTGTCGATTTTTCTCTTTGTATAACTCCGTCCGTTTGTTTCCACAAGCTCTGATATGTCAAAATTTCGATTCTACGCCCTAAAATTACCTAGAAAAACAAGATTTGGAATAGAAATTGGTTAACATTAGCTTTTTAGAGCTTTTTAAAACGCGAAAAAAGGTGCGCTAATGGGCAAGGTGCGGAAAAAAAGGTGCGCAAATGTCCGGGTGCGCAAAAAAAAGGTCGCATTTGTCCCACTCCCATAACTTGACATTTTCGCAGTTTCATCTCATAATATTTATTAAAAACTGAGGCAAAAAAGTGAAGCGTTCATATACATAAATACCTATAAGGTATAGTAAATAAAACCCGTGAATGGAAGAGAAATATTCAAGTGGAGAGAACCAGTTTGTGGAAAATAAGAGACGAAACAAGTCAGACAACAGAAAATTGATGAATGACAAGGAATATCACAAGTAGGAAGAATGGAAAATGGAGAATTTATAGAGAATTGAGCAACAGTTTAGACTGAGTCCTTAGACTGAAATTTAACTAGTCTTTACCTTTAACTTTAACTAGTCGATAGAATCGATTTGGCAAGTAAAGTGAACAAAAACGGACGGAGTTATACAAAGAGAAAAATCGACAATTTTCTGTAATTTGATCTAGCCGTTTTGTCTTTCAAATTGGTTCCACACGCTCTGGTATGTCAAAATTTCGATTCTACGCCCTAAAATTACCTAGAAAAAGAACTTTTGGAATAGAAATTGGTTAACATTAGCTTTTTAGAGCTTTTTTAAAACGCGAAAAAAGGTGCTAATGGGCTAAGTGCGGAAAAAAAGGTGCGCAAATGTCCGGGTGCGCAAAAAAAAGGTCGCATTTGTCCCACTCCCTTAGATTTATGAGTTTGTATAAAAAAATTAAAACTTTATGCGTTTCATCTAAGACTTTAAACGTGAAACGCGAAAAAATGAAATTTTTTTGTTAAAATTTGCTCATTTTTGTTAGCCAAGATCGGCTCGCATTTGCAATAATGGAGCTCAAAAAGCACTACTTTTATAGTAATTAACTCTGAAAACGTATTAATGCAGAAAGAGACGGGAAAAGTCGATTTTTAGAGACCCTAAACTCGAATGTAACTTTTTTTTTTCAGCATTGCCGCTTGTCTGCTCGGCTAGGATTGTCTAATTCATTTTAAAAAAAATCTTACGCTTCTTCTATTCTATGTAAAATTACGCGTAGATTTTTTTGATTAATTCTTGTTTCTCAGCTTATGTCAATTGTATTGTCGTAGAGAGCCAAAAAGATGCAGCTAAGCGCACGCTGATGTCCGGTAGCTTTCTCTAAATTTTAGAAAAAGCATTGCAAACTTTGAGTACACTGTATTTTGAAATCAAAAATAACTTTATTTGATCTTTTCAGGCTTTCCACCAAACGTACAATCTCGCTTTTCATATGCACACGCACGAGGAAAGAAAACCGTTTGAATGTCCCGAGTGTGGACGGGGATTTTGTCGAAATTTCGATCTAAAGAAGCATTTGCGTAGAATGCATGCAAACAATTTGAAGCGATCATGAATTTATAGCAAAATAAACATGATTTTCTTTTTATGATAAACAAACAATTACATGCAAGATTATTATTTGTAAACTTAGTCACTCTTTTTATATTATAAAGCTTCAATTTTTACAATAAATTGACGGCTTTTATATATATGTTGAGTTCGATTTAGATTTCCGTCCGATTTAGATTCAATCTAAATCTTATATAGATTGAATAGATATAGATATGATAAAATTTGCCTTAATCACAAATTTTTCCTATTTTAAGTACTTCATTTTGGGTTTTGACAGTAACAGACAGTAAGACGGTAACAGACCTTTGAAAAATGCAGAAAACGACAGAAAACGCTTAAGAACATATATTAAGCATGTTTATATTATTGTTCAATCTATATAAGATTTAGATTGAATCTAAATCGGACGTCCGATATAGACTGTAATCTAAATCGGACGTCCGCGATAAGTTCAATCTAAATCGGACACAATATATATATATATATATACCGTAAATACTGTAATAGTACCCCACCGTAAATAACCGTAAACATACCGTAAATACTTTAATAGTACCCCATCGCCCTCGTACAGTCGCGTAGGCGCAAAAGTTTTCTAGTATTTCATTTTTTTCAAAGCGCCCGTACTTTCAAAAAGTTGGTCTTTGGTATCAAAAAATAGCCCTGAATTTCAGCTATTTTTTGATACCAAAGCAAACATTGTAGCACAAACCAGTGTCGAGAAAAACCCGTTCAAAGCTAAACTACGCAACACTCGGCACCATCATTATAGGGGTGGGGTACTATTACAGTATTTACGGTATGTGCCTTCTGTATGAAAATTTTATTTTGAGCCCATCAAAGTCAGATGTAACAATGGTTTTTATAAGTTACCAGCCGAAAAATCCACCTAACCCGGGTTTTTCTGGTCGAATTTTGTTGTGGTCGTGGCGCAGTCGGGAAAGCGCTTGTCTACAGCCTACACGAGCCGGCTTCGACTCCCGGCTGTATCGTGACTTTTGCTTTTTAAAAAAATGAAATATAAGATGAACAATTACATCAAAAATATCAAAAAATAGCCCTGAATTTCAGCTATTTTTTGATATTTAAGCGCGCATTGTAGCATAAACCAGTGTCGGGAAAAACTCGTTCGAAGCTAGACTACTCAACGCTCCGCACCGTCATTATGGGGGTGGGTTACTATTACAGTATTTACGGTAAGTTTTTTTCCTTTCAATCGAATTCTTTTGGATAATTCGATGCACTGAATACGAATATCGATATCTCAGATCCGGGTTTTACGATTTTTAAAGGATAATCGAGATCTCTATATTGATAAGCTCTTGGTTTTTCGAATTGAATCTTAACTAACGATTGTTTATGCTAGTTTCGACAATAGGCACCTCTTAAAATGCCAAAAAAAATTGACATTCTTAGTTTGAATTATTATTAACTTTTTATCTAGTTTTCTGTTACAGTAGGTGTCTTTTTTTTCCGACAATTGTTGATTTCAACTATTGCCAACTATTGTGAAATAAACGAGCCAAAAGAGAGCACCAAATTCGATGACCTCAACGACGGATAATAATATCAAGAAAGAGTTTTAAGTCGATTCAAGTAACTTTCGAGGGAAAGAGGGATTTGGTGAGGTGTGAATGGGATTAAAGAAAAGAGGAAAAGGAAAGGGAAAAGAGATGATCGGCCTATTGAAAAGTTTCGAAGGGGAAAAGGATCATTGACAGACAGCCATTTAACCCCCGCCACTCGAAAACCCTTTTCTCCTTTTTCTCATCTCTGAAGTGAGACATCCCTTTATCGAGCTCCCCATTGTCCCTTCTGCTGTCGATTCCCTCTTTGGTGAAAGATTTGTTAAATCGATTCGGGGAATACAAAGTTAGGTACACAATTGTGCCAACAACAAAAAGCCAAGAAAGTCCAAAATTTTGGGATTAATTTTTGCTTTAACACATTCACGACGGCGAGCCGCACACCATGGCTCTTTCGGTGTTTTAAGCTAATGACTAGAGCTAATGACTACTCTAAAAATTAGCATCTAAGAGTTTTTGGGGTTGGATTTCAGATTCGGATTCGGATTCTTCAACAAAAATACAACTAAATTACACGAAGAAGCCGTTAGCGGCTAAATTAGCGCCAACTTCAAGCTTTAGACGATAGCTGAACGATAATTAGTAACGAAAGCGGATTAGAAGTTCAATAAAAGTTGATTGGTATTAATTAGTTGTTAACTAGTTAATTAGTTAATGATTAAATAGTTGATTAATTAGTTCATTGAGTAACAAAATTCTATTTCAGACGTCACTCTCGTTCACGGGATCGCAATGGTGGTGACCGGGAACGTCGAGGTGGAGGAGATGAACGTCGAGGCGGAGGAGATCAACGTCGAGGCGGAGGAGATCAACGTCGAGGCGGAGAAGATGAACGTCGAGGCGGAGGAGATCAACGTCGAGGCGGAGAAGATGAACGTCGAGGCGGAGGAGATCAACGTCGAGGCGAAGGAGATGAACGTCAAGGCGGAGGAGATGAACGTCGAGGCGGAGGAGATCAACGTCGAGGCGGAGAAGATGAACGTCGAGGCGGAGGAGATCAACGTCGAGGCGGAGGAGATCAACGTCGAGGCGGAGAAGATGAACGTCGAGGCGGAGGAGATCAACGTCGAGGCGAAGGAGATGAACGTCAAGGCGGAGGAGATGAACGTCAAGGCGGAGGAGATGAAGGTCGAGGCGGAGGAGATGACCGTCGACGATCAGATCGCCGCTTTTAAATGTTCGATTATTTTCGACAACATGATCTCTTTTGTCGCCTTGTTCAATTATTTGTGTGATTGACTAAATTATTACTTTTCGAACTACATTTGTACTCTGTATCCTTCCTTAAAATGTTATAATTTGTCTCTCACAAAAATCTCCTCAAGAAGTGAATCAGAAAAGCTATAAGGCTAAGAAAAAATGACAGCTAAATGAAATAAATAATCGAGAATCCGAATCTGAAATCAAATTTCAAAAATCTTCATTACGCGCTGAGATCTAAGAGATTTTGAGAGCTTCCGTGCCTTTCCGTGCCTACTTTGTGCTCCTCTGGCACAAGGACGGTAGCCCGCCGCTTCAATTACCCAACCAGCGCTAAACGTTAAAAGGATCTTCTCAGAAAAGCATTACTTTTGAAAGCTTTCAATAATACACTTAGTTTTTACTTTTTTAGCATTGTAAGAAAAATGTTGTAAAAGAAATGAATTCCGATTGTTTTATGGCTTTTTTGAGGAATTTTTTTTTAAAAACATTACACCAAAAACTCAGTACTTTCGAAAATCAATATCAGATTCGGTTTCTCAATTATTTATTTCATATAGCTATCATTTTTTTCTTAGCCTTGTAGCTTTTCTAGTTCACTTCTTGAGGAGATTTTTGTGAAAAACGGTTTCTTCGTGTAGTTTAACTGTATTTTTTGTTAGTTTTCAGCCCAAAGAACGTGAATTCCTTAAAGATTCCTTAAAAATAAAGCTTTGCTCGTTAAAGAAGTAAAGAAGAATAAGTCGTAAATGGGGAACTCCGTCAATTCTCCCAAAAACCCATTACTGTATTGTGTTTTTATGATAAAATGAGGCGTGAAATTGGGGAAAAGAAATGGAAAGAAGTGTGTCTTTTCTGGGGAAATCGTCAAGAGAAAGGGTGATGGGACACAGCGACGCCTTTGCCCATTTCTCTCCAACAGTAAAGCAAGGGGATAGGCTGAGCTAATATTCACCAAAATTCAGTCAAATTCAGTGAATTTCTTTTAAAAATATATGCTATTAGGTAAATGCATAAGAAATGCGGATTTCAACATTTTCATAGGATTTTGCAACGATAGAAACCTGATGTTGTGAACTAGAATCGATGAATGTTATGAACTATTTGAAAGTTGTGTAAATCTCCTCTACAAAATAGGCTAAAACGTGTTTCAATTGAACGAAGCATTGAAGAAATTTCGAGGGCGAAATGCGAGTGACCAAAAAAGGAATCTATGATGATCAAGTCTTGCAAAAGCTTATTGAGAAGCTCGCTGGGATTCGGGTAGATAAGCAGATCAACTTGAAGACAGTGAGCCAATTTCAGATCGAAGTGACTGAGGTGTCTCAATCCGAGGAGAGGCAACGGCAAAAATTGGACATTGTTGTCTCGACAGCGAATCGAATTTTAACTCCCGGACAGTATGAAGACGCTCGATGGACTCCGGTTTTAATCAAAATTGAATTGAAGCCGTTTGAAGAAAGTCTCATTCTCAGCTGTTTTACTGAAAGGTGAAGCTTTAAGTTCAATGAAGTTCAATGATTAAGCTCCTAAATCGCCCTTGAATTCCTCAAAAGCATCTAATCTATTAGGTAAATGCATAAGAGATGCGGATTTGAACATTTTCATAGAATTTTGCAACGATAGAAACCTGATGTCATAAACTAGAATCGATGAATGTTATGAACTATTTGAAAGTTGTGTAAATCTTCTCTACAAAATAGGCTAAAACGTGTTTCAATTGATCGAAGCATTGAAGAAATTTCGAGGGCGAAATGAGAGTATATCAAAGAAATATTTTGTTGAGCTCAAGAACATATGCAAATTTGTGCCTTCAGCATGCAGATTTTTGTACCGTTTGTTTATTGAAGTAAAAAGAATAACAAGATAAAAGATTTATTTCCAATTTGATTTCATTTTACAATCCGAATGAAGGATCAAGATGATTTTGAGTTCTTTTTGAAGGAGAGTTATTTGATTTCATTTGATGGTTGAATCGGAGTTGAAGAGATTGACATTGTTGTTCAGCAACTGTTGATCAATTGTTGGTTGTAGATTGAGATTCATTTTAGCCATTGAATTGCTTTTAGTTAGTTCGCATGATTCCCATCTTGAGCCCAAATCGGTAGAGTTGGATCTTTGACTTCTTCATCATCAGAATCATCAAGATTGACTGGTTGGGGGGATGAATCTTTGTCATCTTTTTGGAAAGACATTTTCAGATCCAAATTTGTTTGAATGGACATTGTTGATTTATTAGAATGGCTTTGATTTGATTGCTTTAAGCGCTTGTTATAACCCTTTTATACAAAAATGCCTTTTCCTTGCCTCATTTTCCCTATTTTTTCATTATTGCGACGAATCATTTCAATATTTCTGAAATTTGCAAGAAAAATCGGAAAACTACTTCATCAACTACCAATTCCTAGGGTTTTTCTGAGAATTTTTTCAGAGATGACTCATTTTTAGCAAGAATACACAAGCTGATAACGCTGAAGTTTCCAATTTTCTTATTGTTGGCAAAATATTGTTTGAACTTGAGAATATTCTGTCTGATTTAGGAAATAGATTGCATGAATTGCAAATAGACTCAATTTTTTAACATTTCGCAATGTTTCTACCTTCATTTTCATGAAAATAGAGAATTTACAATGCTTTTGTATGTAGTTTGCTGATAGTTTTTGACGAAAACGGGTTTTCTAGTTTGTATGCAGTTTGCTCATAGTTTGACATGCTGTTTTTGTTTATTAGCATCAAATTTGCATGTTTTTGCGTTGCTTACAATTTGGGGAAACTTTAAGAAATAACCTGAGCTATTCTTTTTACTTTACTTTTACTTGTTGATGGAGGGAAAGCTTTCCAGCAAGATTCAGCTTTACTTTTCAAAATCTCTTTAAAAAATTGCACTTAAGGATCATTTATTTTTGATTAATTCTAATTTAGTCAAATTCTCCCAAAATGTGACCGCTTTCCCGAGTGAAACGCCAGCAAGTCAGCAAGCCTTTTCACTCCGATTGAATCACCGTTCTGATCGCTTTTTTTTTTCGTTTTTGAGGGAGAATTCTCAAAACTCTCTCTCATTTCCTCAATCTTTCTCTTAAAAATTTAAAAGTTCCACTTAAATAACCATTCTTTTTATCATTAGAAATGGGGAAAAATGAGAGAAAATTGGGTATAAAAGGCGGCAATGATGGTCAAGCTTTAGTCCGACACCTCCAATACAGGTAATCTTTTGGGAAATTTTGTGTTTAGGTAGATGAGGCTTTTATTCGATAAGCTTTTTGAGTTGAAGGCTCAGATTTTATGCCTGCCTAAGTTTAGTTTTCGCCTTACTTCATGCTATTACTTGTCTAGAAACTGTACTTTTAGAAATAGTACACTTAGAACCGTACTTTACAGAATATTCTATATTATTCGATGCATTATCCTTGTCTTTTTCAGAGACTCGGCTTCAAAAAATGTCATTCATTGCGTGGGCCTCATCGGCTGGCTCTTCAGTGGCCATCCTTGTGTGTCTCTTCTATGTTCCATACTTGATGAACCAGGTAATTGATGAGGATTTTATCTAGCTTATAAAATGGTTTACTTAATCTCTATAACTAGATTTATTCAAATTATCAATCATTTAGGTTGATGAGATCAAGGGAACGATCGCCATCCGGATGGATCGTTTCCGTGTCGATGAGCACGGCGTCTGGTCACAACTTCAGGTATTACAATATTTGAAATTTATAGCCCTATGCCTTTCGGTACCTTTCTTAGATCTAGATTTATTCTTGTTTATAAAACTTTAGATCAAAATAGGAACCATATTGGAACCATATTGGAACCATATTGGAACCGTATTGGAACCATATTGGAACCGTGTTGGAACCGTATTGGAACTGTATTAGATCAAAATAGGAACCGTATTGGAACCATATTGGAACCGTATTGGAACTGTATTAGATCAAACTATATCCTCTGTTAATCTGAACCCAACAAACTCCTTTTTAGGCCACCCGTGTGGGAATCGTTCGCCCCCGTAAAGCTCGTGCCGCCTACAATCAAGGACAATGCAACTGTGACTCGTTGGAGAGATGCCCAGCTGGACCTGCTGGAGAACCAGGACATCCTGGAGAGAACGGATACCCTGGAGCTCCTGGATCACGTGGAGAGCCTGGAGTGGCTGGACGTGAAGATCACCATGAGGAGCAAGAGGTCAGAAGTTGTAGCTAGCCTTATGATGTAAAAGTCTAAACTTTGTCAGAACCAAAATAACCTTTTCAACTCTAGGAGGGGATGCCGTCGTTGCGCACCCGGCCCTGTGGGACCACCTGGGCAACCTGGAGCTCCAGGAGAGGATGGACAATCGGGAGAGCCTGGAAGAGATGGAGAAGAGAGCGCCCCAGGAGAGCCTGGAAGAGATGGAGAGCCTGGACACGATGGAGCCCCCGGAGAGCCTGGAAGCGATGGAGCTCCTGGAGCCCCAGGAGAGAATGGAAGCCGTGGAGTGCCCGGCCCAGCTGGACCAGACGGACGACCAGGAGAGAATGGATCGAAGGGACAGCCTGGAGACAATGGAGCTCCTGGAGCGCCTGGACAACCTGGACAGAATGGAGAACCCGGAAAGAACGGAGGACCAGGAGCACCTGGAGCAAGAGGACACGATGGACAGTCCGGAGGATCGGGAGAACAAGGCAGAGATGCGAACTACTGCCCCTGCCCAGCTCGCTTCAACAAACATTAAGCGATCAGATTGGCGAAAGAATAAAGAGCATTTGCATCGTTTGGGTTTATTGAAAATGCACAAAACAGATTTTGGTTCTTAACTTGGTTGTGCTCCGGTTACCATAGGCGTTACAGTAACCCAGACGTAACCCAGACGTACACGTCTCTCGGCTCCGGTTACGTCTGAGTTACGTCTGAGTTACAGTGGCGGAAAATTAAATAGCACCGAGGGAATTATTTCGTGTCTTCTCTCTCGTGCATTATTTTAACTTACTTTCAAAAGTAAAGTAAAATATAGTTCAATATACATCTATTAAACAGTTTTCGAGTTTTCTGAAAAAACTTTGAGGCACTTAAAAATGCATGAAAATAAAAGTATAGTTTTACAACTTTTTCCTGAGGCGTTTTAGAGCATGATGATGTTCAGCAAAAAGATTCTCCGTATTCGATTTAGTGCGAATAAGCTTTTAGTTTGTGGAAATTCGTTGAAATTTAAGGGTTTTCGGGCCTTTCAAATTGCTGAAACTTTTAGAGCACTAGAAAAAGGCAAAAAAAAACCAAAAATCGTCGTTCAACGAATTTCCACAAACTAAAAGCTTATTCGCACTAAATCGAATACGGAGAATCTTTTTGCTGAACATCATCATGCTCTAAAACGCCTCAGGAAAAAGTTGTAAAACTATACTTTTATTTTCATGCATTTTTAAGTGCCTCAAAGTTTTTTCAGAAAACTCGAAAACTGTTTAATAGATGTATATTGAACTATATTTTACTTTACTTTTGAAAGTAAGTTAAAATAATGCACGAGAGAGAAGACACGAAATAATTCCCTCGGTGCTATTTAATTTTCCGCCACTGTAACTCAGACGTAACTCAGACGTAACCCAGACGTAACAGACGTAACTCAGACGCTTTTTCCAAACCTTTAAATACCCTAAAGTGTACTCCGACTACCGTAACCTATATCTTATCAAGATATATTTTATCTCTTATTGTTTATAAATAAATGTAGTCTTTACGACCAAGTCTCTGAGTTACGGTAGCTGAGGCAACTTTTATCTAGCTACAGTACAGTACGCTCGGAAAGTCGCCGTTTAAAACGGCCACTTTCCCAGCGTACTGTAGCTAGATAAAAGACTTGAACTTGCCTTTAAAAACTGGAAAATTTTCAAACGATCAAAAGCAAATTCCTTTCGAATTACCTGAAGACTGACACGGTTCCAAAAATGACCAAAGCGGATTGACCCTGAGTTTTTCTGATAAGGCATTTTGTGAAAATCATTTCACCCTTAAAAACTTTATTAGTTTCCTGAAAAATGCATTTCCTTTCTAAAATCGATCCATTAAAGCTTCGGGTTTGTTGACAATTTCAGCTTTTTTTTTTTTAATTTACAAAGAAATTTTGAAGATTTCCCTCTATGCCGTGGCGGTGTTGCACTTTAGCGGGAAAGTCATTTGGTACGGCTTTGGCGATTTGTTCTTCTACGAGAAACTTGAGAGGTAAAAGATTAGAGGGGAAAGCTATTTATCTTATGGCCTTGTAGTACACTTATTAAGTAGTAGTTAAGTTAAGTAGTAAACTTATTATCATATCATATTGTCATATCAAGTCATATCGAGCCAAGAATCGTTTATGTAACTCTTGTTAAAGTATACTTATTGTTATTGTTAAGGTTGTTTGTTACTTATTGTTAACGTGCATTTCTCGGGGGGTAATCCACTTTCTAAAAGGCATCTATTATAGAAAACTAATCGTAATCTTAAATCGTACTCCGATTTTATGGAATCAACTTCATTTTTGTATCATTTGATAAAGAATCAACTTTATTTGATAAACTTTAGTAAAACCTACCGTAAATACTGTAATAGTACCCCACCGCCCTCGTACAGTCGCGTAGTCGCAAAAGTTTTTTACTAAATCATTTTTTTCAAAGCGCCCGTACTTTCAAAAAATGCGTCTTTGGTATCAAAAAATAGCTGAAATTCAGGGCTATTTTTTGATACCTAAGCGCGCATTGTAGCATAAACCAGTGTCGAGAAAAACTCGTTCAAAGCTAGACTACGCAACACTTCGCACCGTCATTATGAGGGTGGGGTACTATTACAGTATTTACGGTAGGTTAACCTGGCTCTCCCCTAGCTCTGATTTAGCTTATAAGCACTGAGATCTAGCTGGGTATACCTGCTCAGAAGCCAGCCTTCTCCTGGCTCAATTTGGCCCCAGACCACAAAAACATTGGATTGGCGTTGGCTCTCTGACCTAGACCTCTGACCTGCTTTAGAGCTGGCATCTCTTACAGACTCTATTGTATTGTAGCAGAGCGCGCATTGTAGCATAAACCAGTGTCGAGAAAAACTCGTTCAAAGTTAGACTACGCAACACTTCGCACCGTCATTATGGGGTACTATTACAGTATTTACGGTAAGTCTTTTCCTTTCATTTGAATTCTTTTGGGTAATTCGATGCGCTGAATCCGAATATCGATATCTCAGATCCGGATTTTACGTTTTTTAAAGGATAATCGAGCTCTCTATATTGATAAGCTCTTGGTTTTTCGAATTGAATCTTAACTAACGATTGTTTATGCTAGTTTCGACAATAGGCACCTCTTAAAATGCCAAAAACATTGACATTCTTTGTTTGATTACTGTAGCTTTTAGTGGCTTTTAACTTTCAAAGCATGACCAAATTGTTGAGCTGTTTTATTTGGCAACCGATCCAGCCCATTGCACGTTTTTAATCAATGAAGTGTTTACAGTCTCTCTCCAACGGATCAAAGTCTAAAAGCCTAGCCAAATCCTGTTTAAAATGAAAAACAAATGAAAAATTGAAAAGTAAACTAAAAATATTAGAAAAAAAGCCCTACGCAAGCTGTTTTTCTGTTTTTGTGAAAAATATTTGCTTTCCAGTGGAGACATGACTGTTGAAGGGATACAAATGAATGTGATCATTTACATTGGAATCAATATATTGACGATCGCTGATCTTCTTCTCTTTCTCACCTCAATTATCTTGTCGATTATTGGATTTCGAAACGGGATCAAGTCACTTTCACTCACGCATGCTATTTACATGGTGAGTTTGAGCGGTGAATGGTATAGCTAGAGAGGTGTTACAAAGGCCTGACCTGACTTACTTTGTAATCCAGGTCAGGCCACGGCCAAAGCCAAATCAGGCCAAGGCCAAAGCCAAATTAGGCCAAGGCCAAAGCCAAATCAGGCCAAAAGCTAGAACCTGCCCTTAGCCACAAGAAGGCACCGCAGAAGAAACTGACTTGACTTCTGGCTTATCTGGCTTGACCTTACTGCTGACTGCCCTGAGTCCCTGAGCCCTGTCCCTGAGTCAGAACTCAAACATTGACCTTGTTTCTTCCCCTAGAGCTCAGTTAGAACATCTCTGTGTCCAGTTGATGTACTGAATCAACTTGTTAGTACAGTACAACTACTCCTAAGTACAGTACAACTCCTCGTAAGTGACTCTACTACCTACGCAGCTAATTGTGGGTTTAGAGTAGACATAGGAAAATTCCAAGCCGAACCTAATTCCACCTTTCGTTTTCTCAGCTGTCTCTCGCCGATTGTTCTGAAATCTTGTTTACAAATAGAAATTGGCATTTTCTGCTTGTAGACAAAATTTCAGAGGAATTGGTGAAGAGACGGCTGAGAAAACGATGGTGGAATTAGGTTCGGTTTGGAATTTTCTCATGTCTAGTGTGAGTACACTTAATTTTTGATTTTAAAGTAACTAGAAACAAATACTCAGCCTGGTTAGCTGAATAGCTTAGCTTAGGCATACTGTAGGTCTCTTCACTACAGTATGCCGAAATAAGTTCATCTAATGAACATTCGTATTGAATTTTTTCGTTTCTCAATCTCAGCTTTTTGCTTGTCCGATGGTTAGAACTTGCGCTGAAGGTTAGAAATTTTTACCCTTCAGCTATCTAAGATCTATCTAAGTTAAATGAAGCATTGAGTGCATCTGAAGTCGAGAAAATTCGAGGCTAGTCGCGAAAATTCAGGGTATGGAGGTGAAAGTTTGGTATGGGAACTTTGAGGACAGTCTAATCGACGCGGAAACAATCGATCTCTATCTCTCAATGTATCTCTTTTTAACTTCAATGATTTCACTCATCATTTTCTCTGTTCACTATCGTCAAATCTATCCATTGAAGAGTCATTCGCCGACTTTCGGAACAATTCCACCGCCATCAAGAAGGACCACGTTTATTGTTTAAATGTACTTTGTCCAAATGGAAACCCACCTCATCTATTGCACTCAGTTTTTGATCAATCTAAGATAAATGAAGAAGTGCATAAGAAAATGTGGGTTTACGTTTACGTTTACGTTTACGTTTACGTTTTACGTTTACGTTTACGTTTACGTTTACGTTTACGTTTACGTTTACGTTTACGTTTACGTTTACGTTTACGTTTACGTTTACGTTTTACGTTTACGTTTACGTTCACGTTTACGTTTACATTTACGTCTACGTTTACGTTTACGGTGACGTTTACGTTTTACGTTTGCGTTTACGTCTACGTTTACCTTTTCCTTTTACGTCTACGTTTTACGTGAGTGCAAAGAACAAAGCTGAAAACGTGAATTCAGCAATTTTTCCTTTAAAATCCACTTTCCTATGTTCTTTTTTCAATTTATTGAATGAAAAACTCTCATAAAGCTGATCCCAATTATTTGCCTTCATAAAAAATTGCCCTACCCCTGCCCTATCCAAAAAAAAATCCCGGAAACGATCTATCGTTTTTTTTTATTTGCTCTACAAAATTTCTATGAAAAAGATTCTTTTTTTTGATTTCTTTTTTTATTTGCACTTAATGAATTTGAAAGTAAATGAATGCTAAAAAAAATTCGTTTCGAATCGTTTACAATTTGCTTTATCTTGCACCAAAATGGACATATATGCAAATAAATTTTCTGAAATGAAAAAAGAATTGTGGTCACGTCAGAAAAGCAAAGCGAAGGATTGATCAGGGAAAATTTGGGGAAATTTTTTCAAAACTTTAGCTTTCATTCAGTCACTCCAGCACAAGGTTGATTTCAAAATATGATCTTTACAAAGATAGAAAGTAGCGTATTTTCTCTAATAGTAGTGCACCGTGAGCGTCGTCTAAATTGCTCGAAATCTCGAGAACCACTGATCAGAACCTATTGATGTGGGGTCGGAAAATGTAGCTGACAATGAGATCTTGTGGGGGATTTGAGTGTTGAGCTTCTGGGAAAAAATTGGAAACCGTAAAATAGGCATCAACTCGGCTCGGCGCAGTGCAGTGGTAGAGAAAATGCGGTATCTTTTCTTTCCCCTACCTGATATTCAACGAGAGTCTCCGTGTAGTTAAAGATCGCTCCACCTAATAAAGAGTAGAGAACCAACTTACTATTTAGAAGAGCTAGGCTAATGTCCCATGTTTCATTGCAGTATTTTTCTTAATAGTACTGCACCCTAAGCTTCGCCTAAATTCCTCGAAATCTCGAGAACCGCTGATCAGAACCTATTGATGTGGGGTCGGAAAATGTAGCTGACGATGAGATCTTGTGGGGGATTTGAGTGTTGAGCTTCTGCAAAAGCTTGGAAACCGTAAAATAGTCACCAACTCGGCTCGCCCGGTGCACTACTATTAGAGAAAATACGGTAACATCCGTTTCTTTTTACTGGACGGCTATTGATTATCTGAACAATACTTGGTCTCTAATTTTAGCTGAACAGCAAAATGCAAGGCAATCGGACGATACAAGCGGAGATTCTTTACAAAATAAAGGACAAAATGCATTTGTTTACTATTTACATGGTTTAATTTTGATTCTATATTTATGAGATACCGACTTTATTTCGGTTCTATAATTACATCTCGATCCTTAAGAACTCAATCCTCCTGCGCGAGCAGCAGGAGGGTCTTAAGGACCGAGTTATTAAGGATCGAGTTCTCAAAAGAATTGCAGAACTTACAATTTCTTATTCTTTCAATTCCTAAAGATAATGATTTTTAAAGTTTAAAAGGGGGTAGTCAAAACAGCGCCATAATAGAAAACGTTCAAAACAGCGCCGTCAAATTTCTCAAAATCCAAAAAACCAAGCCGGTTCAAGTTTTATCTCAAAAAATTCCTTGCGTTCTTGGCTACATGATGGGTGAAACAGTTTTTTAAAAAAGTTCATATTTCATAGATAAAAAGAGCACTCAAAATGGGTCTCTAAAGATATTCAGTTAACCAACTGAGTATCACTCGACACACATTTTGAGTGCTCTTTTTATCTATGAAATATGAACTTTTTTAAAAAACTGTTTCACCCATCATGTAGCCAAGAACGCAAGGAATTTTTTGAGATAAAACTTGAACCGGCTTGGTTTTTTGGATTTTGAGAAATTTGAACGTTTTCTATTATGGCGCTGTTTTGACTACCCCCCGTTTAAAACTGTTAAGAATAATGAATTTCAGAACGAAAAATTTCATTTTTTTCTTTCTAAAATTGAAATAACATTTTTTAAAGTAATGGCTCGTCCTTCAAAGAGGCAAAGTCGAAGGATAAACACGGAGAACTCGATCTCGATCCTTAAGAACTCAATCCTCCTGCGCGAGCAGCAGGAGGATCGAGTTCTTAAAAGCATTGCAGAACTTACAATTGCTTGCTCTTTCAATTCCTAAAAATAATGATTTTTAAGCTTTAAAACTGCTAAGAATAATGTAGTCTGCAGATTATCAAACTGCACAAAAACATTCCAATCTTTTGAACCATTTCAATCTTTCAATCTTTCAATCTTTCAGATCTATCTAAATCATTATCTTTAGGAATTCAAAGAGCAAGCAATTGTAAGTTCTGCAATGCTTTTGTCCTTGATTCGCATTGACATTAGCTGTCGTTCTCTGATTTTCAATCAAAGATTTTAGTTCGGTGAGTTTGGTCAATTCAAAGATCTGATTTTGAATAGTTAAATAGCCCAATGATAGAATATCTGTCTAGAAAGAAAGTGAAATGATTTCTTCGGATTTGATTTGGAAACGATTTCTTTACCAATCCCTCTTTCAGCGTTCTTCCACTGATCCCTTCATCCGCACATTTCCCCCAGAAACTCTATAGTTTCATCATACTTTTTCTCTTGTCTAGTTCATGTACATCGTTATGCAAACATTTGAAAACATGTGATATGAAATTCGGGCAAGTCCACGAGTCCACAAGGATCTCTTTAATATCCTCCAATCTAATTGTCGACATAATTTCTCAATTCGCTCTTTTCTCGCTTTTCTCGCTTTTATTTGTTTGATCTGTTTGTCTAATTCAGAAAGAGAAAGAAAAGAGATTTGTATCTGTAGCTGGGAAAGGCTTTCTATAAGCCATATTGGCACAGCTTTATCTTCTCCATTCACTCACCATTCACAAATTCTCTAAATTTTCTTTTAACATGAAATTATGAAAGGCTTTTTTTGTTTACACCAAGGACAGGAAAAAAAAAAGGATTTATCAAGTGACACAGAAAAATAAAATCGATTTTAGACAAAAGAATCAAGGTCTCAGGGGGAAATTGTCGAAAAAAATTGGTCTTGAAATTCTGAGGTACATGTGAAAAACTATGCGATCTAGCTAGGTAATTTGAAAATGATAATACTGAAATTGACAGTTACAATTGACCAAAAACGACAACGACAGCGTGATTGTGGGAAACGATATTTCGATTGAGTTTCTTTTATTTCAACATTTGCAAATAGCAAATAGCTGAGAGATTTTGAATCTAATGATTAGTCTAAATGTTTAGAATCGTTTAATCTATCCTCAATCTTGTTCTGGTTGTTTAAAAGGGACTTTTTCTGGGTCTAGAGCTAGAAGCCAGTTTCTGCCGGGCTTTACTGCAGACTTTGCAAAAATCTCTGACCCAATAAAATCCTTAAACTTGTCCTAGATTTGTGCCTGCCTTAAACCTGATCTCGATCTGAACCTGGGCTAGATCTGGGCTAGCCTAATCATGCTATCTTGACTTATAACCCTTGCTACTAGGGCATCAGTTGGGAAATCTCTGATCTTGACTCGATATTTACTCATTCAAACTCTAGACTAGTATCAAGCTTTAAAGATCTTTTCCTTATCAACAATGAAAAGTTGATCAATGTTAGATGAAGTTAAAATTAGCTATTGAATAGCTTATTGAATGAAACATTCAATTTCTCTCTCTTGAAACCAAGAAACTCAAGCTTAAATATCAGTAACTATCTCAAGTACATGTAAATTTTCTCGAAAATTTCAAGAATCTATTCAAAACAACGACAATGACGACAAAGCTTGAGGTTATTACACAAGGCAGGTAGAAGAGTGCTTAAAAAAAAGGCGGTGTGGGCAGAGAAGGAGGTGAGGAAATGGAGAGAATGTGGTCGATTGTTAGACGAATTGTTTGTTTTTTTTATGGCGTCCCTGAATGTGTCGTGAAGAGGTCAGGTGTCGGAGTGCGGGATGGGCCCATTGAGTTTCTGAAAAAAAAAACGGAAAGATTTTACGCACATTGTCGGGTAGAATTTGTTAAAAACCTCGAGATTTGCATCTCGTCGCTGCTCATTTTGGATGAGGGAGTTGGTGTGCGTGACGGTTGATCGGGAGATCTAAAACCGATCGAGTTCGGTGGTTTGGAACTCAATGGGCCCAAATAAGTAGAGGAAATGATAAATGAAAAGAAAGAGAGAGGGAACTTAACTTATGATAGGCTCAGGGGTGGGAGTACGTGAAGGAGAACGATATCTGAAATCGATTCGTGGGCTTGAAGATAGAAGAAGAGGTGGGAATTGACGCTAATAGTCCAAAAGATACTGTAAGCCAGTCCAAAAGATACTGTAAGTCAGTATTTTACTACAATATACCGAAGCATTGAATAGAAGATACTCAGCCTTCTATAGCTGAATACTTCTCAGCTGAATACTCAGCATTGTAGCTGAATAGATGTCAATTCTACAGTCAATCCAGAATAATGTATTCAGATGTGAGATACTCAGCCTGGTTAGCTGAATAGCTTAGCTTAGGCATACTGTAGGTCTCTTCACTACAGTATGCCGAAGTAAGCAGAAGACTGAGCTTTATGTAGATTGCATCACTTGCAACTCATTCTAAAATATCCCTTAGGAAAAGTTACTGTAATCCAGCTGCTTTTTAACAACCTTTATCAACAGAATTACGGTAGCTTTCCTAGAGCATAGAATGAATACTATAGCCTAGACTGGATACCGTAATCTAGACTGTTT